TCCTTCCTTCCTTCCTTCCTTCCTTCCCTACCTACCTACCTACCTACCTACCTACCTACCTGTCAGTGTTGACTTCTAGCAACTGCCTGGACCAGGCCCTGCAGTTTTCTTGGCAAGGTTTTTCGGAAGTGGTTTGCCATTGCCAGCTTCCTAGGGCAGAGAGAGACAGTGACTGGCCCAAGGTCACTCAGCTGGCTTCATGCCTAAGGCGGGAACTCACAGTCTCCCATTTTCTAGCCCAGTGCCTTAACCACTACACCAAACTGGGTCTCTTGCCCTATTTGCAGAAGAAAAACAACAGCTCCAAAAACTGCACCTCTTTCGTTTCCTCCACTAAAAATCAAGATCAGCTTTCACTCCACTTGGATGAATTTCTGTGCAGTTGGCAGGAAAGCTAGTTTACTTCTAACTATTAGACAGATAGGTGTGGTCACTAAAACCATACTTTGCTTAGTAATTGGGATCCACTTTTATGCATATGCCAAAAAGAAAGACTTAAAACTAAATTATTCCTATAACTACTATGTCAATTCTCACTCCATGCATGTCTGCTTCATATGTACTTCACCATAAATAGATTATACTGGGTAAAACTTAGAATTTTTCAAAAAGATCCATCCATGAGCTTCGTAGCCTTCTTCAAGGGCTAGGGTTAGGGATATGAATCATTTGGATCATTCTTTTTTAAAAACATAGTTTAGGGAAAATAAGGCATTTGTAAAAACACACACACACAAGATTTTACTTTTAAGACTCTTGGCAGATCAGAAAGGTTTTCCTATATTAAGAACCAATTTCTTTTCTGACTGGTGCACTTTTATTAGATTATGTTGTTGCCTACCATTGTAACTCTGTCATCCCCTAGTTATGACCCACTCTATGAGCCCATTTCCCCCCCCCATGAGTCTTTTCCAGGTTGATATTAACCTATGGCATCAGGGCTACATTTGAGAAGGGGTCCCATTTTTGGCTTTTAGACCCTTAGATCCTCTGCTGTGCCTCTTTGCAATTTCTACCTCTGTGCCCCTGGCATATAAACAACTAGCGAATAGCCTCACTTGTCATGCCAAACCCTAATTAATGTAACCATAATATATGTAACAAATCATCATTCTGTTTCACAAAACACAGTAAACCATAAACTATCAATTACAGGGTCTGAGTTTGTAGGTCATGCTCAGCCAAAAAGAACAAGTCATATTTCCCTTAAACCAGTAAATGGAGCAAAGAGTAAAAAGAAAAATTACTCCTCTACTTCTGGGAGTCCATGCCAACTGGGCTGTTAAGAAAAGATGTTAATATGGAAGAGGAAGAGGAAAGCCCACTCAAGAACAAATGTATGTGGAAGAGAGAGCACATTATCTTCCAGTAAATTTTTTGTGTTATTTTATTTTATTTTATTTTATTTTATTTGTCTGGTCTGGTCTGGTCTGGTCTGGTCTGGTCTGGTCTGGTCTGG